GCAACAGACATCTAGCATTGAATATATCAATTATTTTCATACAGAAGGCTATGGGGTTCAGTGCATGGCACAGGAGGGATTCTGGTAGCAACCAAGCTGAAATCTAGTTCTAACAGCAAAGTGATGTGAAAAACACCTCATCACCTTCCCAGAGACAGACAACCCATACCTCTGTACTACACATCTTCTGCAGGACTTGAACAGCACTGCACCCCTTAATGCCACACTGGTACTGACTCAGAACCACCTCAGAGAGAAAAGCACTGTGCACTGATCCCAACAGTCCTCCAGGTTAACTGCCTTTTCCCTCACCAGCTCCTATCCAAGCACACAACTATGCAATGCTTTCCACCTGCTGAAACCTGCTGAAGTCTCAACCCAAGGCAGACAGGCTGCACAATCACCTCAAGTTTTCTCCAATGCAATAACAGAATTCAGTTTAGAGCAGCACATTTTTCATATACACACATACAGAAAATGCACAGCATTATTACAAACTCAGTTTTAACCACACCATGACATTGATTTCCATTACTAGTATATTACACATAGAACAGGAAACATTAGAGAAACAATATTTACTTTACTATTCCCTGGCTCCCTTACACATGCCCAGCTAATGCCCTTTGTATTTACATACACATCTGCTGACATCAACAAAACTTGGGTGTGAAAAACCACAGGCAAAAACTGAACAAGTTTCACTCTCAGAACTATTTATGCACAATAGATTTGCATCTATTTATGTACATGGGTAAGAGGTGGTTTCATCTTTCATAAAATGATCAAATGTCTTACTTAAAACTCCTTGAAAATATACAACACACAAAACCATTCTGCAAAATCATTAGACGTGTTACTTTTACCCTAACTTTGTAACACACATCATTGATCCTTCTTCAAGGAAGCAATTTAAGTCTCTTATAAGGAAACTTCCCTGTCTGACCATGCAGGAGCCTCTCTGGCAATCACTCTCACACCACCTCAACTGGCACTGAAGCCCCTTGGCAGCCACACACATCTCACACTCACACCAGGTTTCCTTACCAGCTTAACCCCAGGTTTCCCTTAGGAGAGTCTCAGGAGTCTCAATCCTTAAAACAATTTAATCTTGGTGCAATAGCTAAATAACAGAACAACAGCCTGAGCTGGTGCCTCTGAGGAGAGACCCTGAACCAAGAACACTCTGGGCTTTTATCCCCTCACAGTCTGAGCACCCCAAGTCTGCAGTTCTCCACTCCTGCTGTGTCTCTCTGTGTGTCACCTGGCTGGGCCACAGGTCCCTGTGCCTTTTCTTGTGCAAAGGGTTGGCAGTTCGTGGCCTCTTTTTCAGGTTAAGCCCTTGTCTCGCCCAGAGCTTACACTGCAGCTGCCCCTGAGCTACCTGCACTCACTGTATTCCTCAGAAACTATTTTTTTTCATGCCTAATAGCACATTTGATGCCATGAAATAACCCATTGCTGGATGAGCATGGATTATGCACACACTCAGATGCATTTCTTCCTTGCTGAAATTTAAACTAGCATATGGATCCAAAAAGACGAAAACCATATTGTTCAGACAAGACTCCAAGTAACTTTTGACAATATTTTATTACCTACAGGTGATTTGATATTATTTCAGCTAAATCATCCTGTTTTCATCCTGTATTTTTTCTCCTGTATCACAGCATCAAAACACCAAGTTAGCAATCCCTAGACATACAATCTAAGCACCTCCTGTTTCCAATACTTACCCTAACAGAATACTGAGTTACACTATTTTAACAAAATAATAGATTCAAACACTTCACTTGAAAATTCACTTTTTAGAAGTGTATTTTGGAAGCACCAGGGCATGTACAAGAGTACGTGAAGTACTTTTGAACATCAATTACAAGAACATTGTGCACAGAATTGCAAACCTGTAATAAAACTCATGATTGGCATCTTGTTCAATTTGCAGCAATGGGGATATTGGCAGGGATTCCAGCTGGGCTGGGATCACACCCTGTGTTGTTAAGGATGCAAGAGAAATTGCATAGAACATTTTAATTTTTATTATTCATATCTTTACTGGGGTTTAGGTTGTGCTAGACCCAATGTGAGTTCTAGCTTTGGTGTATGATTCTTTCAGACACAACAAAAGAAACTGGGACACAAAGCCAGGGATATTTCACACCTCAGTAGAGAGTCAGTCCTTCATGGAGGAGGTTAACACTTTTGGTAGCAGTTCTGCAAATTAGATAATTGCCCTGCAGTTTTTTAGGTGCACCTTTCAAAACTTTAGGATCCATTTTTAGTGGTTTTTTTTCTCCTTCAACAATAAAGATGACATGGAGTTACAATGTTGACACAGTGCTATGGAAGCTTTATTTCATAATAAAAACTTATATTATTAAATCTACAGAGAGATATACACAGCTGGACCCTCATAATATTACAAAGGCCATGTCAAATCAGCCTGGAATCTACCTGCATGTACCTATTTATAATGACTCCACAGAGTGCTAAGTGTGGTGCTAATGAGACCCAGCATAACACAGTTTAAATCTAGGTACCCATAATTAAATTGGGCAAACAGTATTTGACTGTAAATTTGTAAAACTAACTGGTGAGCAACATGTTACATGTCAGTGCAGCTCCACAGAGATACACAGACTTTTCAATGCACTATTCTCCAGGGAGGGAGAGCATCCACATCTTCCAATACAACATTCCAGTATAGAGAAAAATATCCTTTCAAAAATCAAATCAAACTAAAACTTCCTCAAATATACTCTAAAGTCAAAAGTAAGGAAACCTAATTCTTTATAAAAGCACAGGAGCTGCTTCAAAATGTTCTGTCCATTCCTCTGTACGAAGGGAAACAGGAATGCAAGAAAAGGATCCATAATAAAAAGAGCAAACTACATCATATTCCCCAAATACAACAGGAAAGTGGAATTGAAATGTTACACTTCAGAGCATGTAAATTCACTCCAAGGGGAACCAGGAGGGAAAAGGTGTCTGACAGGCAGAATACAGTTGGGTATTAGGAAGGCAAAAAGTAAATAGCAAAGGAGAGACAGCAAAGGACACAAAACCAAATAACAATAAAGCCTATTAGCATATCAGAAGCAGGAAACTTTGCAGGGAATCACTGGATTTGCTACAGCAGGGATTGAATTGAGCAATTGAAGAAGATCCAAACTACATCTTTTCACCAGCCTTTGCCATGGAAAACGTTGGGAAAACCACCCCTGACACCTCTGATAAAGAGACTGACACTTCTTCAAACTGAAAAATCAAAACGGGGTGAGGAAACACAATCAATTGAATGCAATAAATGATGAGGAATGAGCTCCTGTCCCACTCCCATCGACAGGTGTTTTACCATTGATTTTAGCACTAACAGTATTTTACTTCAGAACAACAAACACACCAACAGTTTCAAAACACAAAAAGGCTGAGCTAGGCATCACTGCTCAGGGTGCAGCAGTGGTCAAAAGTGCTCGAAAAAATGTAGAATATAAAAAGGATGAGATAGGGACAGTCAGAAAGACTTTATTTTTAGTCAATATCCAATCTCTCCTGGAGTATTTATTCAGTTTAGGATTCCTGCTCTAAATCAATGACAGTGGCATTGTTTGACAACAATCAAAAATGATTATGGAAGCAAATTTTAAAAGCAGGAAAGAACCAGGAATTCAGCTTAGCAGAGATGGGTAAGAGGGGACACTTCAGAACTGCAAAGAATACTGTGAGATATAAGAAAATAGGATGCTCGGGAACTTAAACTTCCTTACACTACTAGAGCAAAGGGCCAAGCAAGGCAATAAAGAGTTATCAAGTCAAAAATAAAAGGACAAACATTTTAGTGCATAAACCACAAAACTGTGTAATTAATTCACAAGGAGATCTCCATGATAGTAGCAAAGAATATTCTTCAGTGCTTTTCCTATTGCTTTCCTTTCTTGTTCATACCCACATAAAGAAACTAGTGGCATGGCAATAAACATAAATTTTCAGAACAACTCATTTCAGGGAATGTGTTTTCCCTTTCCTCTTGCCTAATGCATGAAACCTTTTAGGCTGGATATATGTCAGGGGAAGAAGGGGAGGTAAGATGACGCATGGAGCATCGCTGAGGAGAGGATGAGGACAGTTAGTAGAGATGTTTCAAGCACATGTTCAAACTGCAGTGTGCTGCCTGTTCCATGCTCCATCCTGCACATGTAATGCAGGTGGTTGATGGCTCAGAAATCTGCCAGTTGTTGGCACTGGATATATTAGGTCCCACTCCAGAATTAAGACAGAAGCACTAAACTATCAATGTGTGAAATTTGTGACTTAAATTACAAGGTAGAGCCATCCAAGGAGTCTCTTGCATTATTCATGACTCTTCAGAACTTTATGTATAAATCAAATAGAAGGAAAGTCTATCATTTCTGCTCTGTTGAGCAGAGATCCACACACAACTTGGGTAATGGCTGCACAAACAAGCTCTCTAGAAAGCACAGTATTACAGACAAGCTCTTCACAATACTCATTCACGCAGTAATTTTGGTGCAGCATCGTTCAATGAACACTTTCATTAAAAACAACTCGTAAGTGTCAAAACCACAGAGGTCATTAAAAATAACCAAATGAATCTGGTTAGGGTTCTTTTGGTTGCTTCTTCTTCCCCTGAAATGAAGGCTTACAAACACTCATTTACAATGTTTTGCTATATTGGACTTAATTAAACTTTATGAGATGATTCATGGGATGGCCATTAATCATTTTGTCTGATACTGTTGAGAAGGAAACCACAGATTCTACAAAGCTCCCACACTTACTAAGAAGCTCCAAAACCAGTGAAAATAAATCCTCCAAGTTCAACAATAAACTTTGACAGACTTTCAACTTTAACATGGTGATTCATCCTAACACAAATGAAGTGCAACACCAGTAAGCATAACATCAGAGTAAATGTTATTGATAAATACACAAGTAACTTGAAACATGCTGCTTTAGAAAGAACTGTAACCTTGACTTACTGTGGCTGTGCCGGAGACAGTTTGTGCATTTGTGTCAGCTGCACTCTGTTCAGAGTGTGTCTGAGCAGGAGGGTACATGTTTAACGTGTGCTCTGGAACAGTGGTTTGGCCTGTGTAGTCTGGAGCTGGATGCGGATGTGGGGCTGTGTATTCTGCAGGGATACCATTCTGAGGAGGAGCAAACTGGGCTGAGGCATAAGGCTGTGCCATTGTGTCAGGAGGTGCTGTAGCTTCCTGATTACCCTGTAAAAATCAAAGGGAAGACAGAGGAAGAAGAAACGTGGCGTGAGATAAAATAAGCAAAGGTCCTGCACACGTAACGCAGAAAGTGACACCCGCGTTCTGCTGAGATTGTTGGCCTGCAAAGGGCACAGTGCTTGTTTCTTGAGAACAGTTCTTATATGAATTAAATGCATTTTGCTAACCCTATTAAATATTATCATAATTACAGAAACAAATCTGCTGTTCACTGGATAATTGTAGACTGCTCTTTGATGGAGAAAGGTGAATGAAATCTGCCTGAACTAACACCTCAACTCAGACAAGGAAGAGAGACCAAGCTGGTTTATTCCAAAAGCTACTGAGCACAACTGCCAGTACAGAGCTCGGATAAAGTTTAGCCCATGGTGTGTGATTCAGTCTGACTTACCTTTTCCAGAATATATGCAACCTACACACAGAGCAGGATTTGGGCACATACTGTTAATGCAAATGTACACTGAAACTAGTCAGATGAAATAATGCTCTGAGATACTCAGAAGTACTCTCTATTGAGCAACTGTGTATCACAAATCCAAAATAATGAGATCCAGTCAAAAGCTTAAACATTTCCATCTAAAAATGCATCAGTTCAAAATCTTAAATTAACATAAAAGGAAAATTCTGTGTTGGAGACTGTCAAAAGAAATAGATTTAAGAACTCGAAAGGTTTTAAATTTGAAGACAATAATATTTCATTTCCACATCACAATAAGCCTATAAAATTAAAAACAAACATCCTCATCTCTTTATAGAGAGATCCATCTTTCTGTTTGATACAACAAAGGACAGTCAAGCATATTAATTTATCAATTAGAAAACTTCTGACTAAATGCTTTCCTCATATCAAAAGGCAATAGCTCTAGAGGAAGAAATGTACACAACATGATGCTGCATGAGACAGCATTAGAGGCCATTAGTGCAGGGACTATCCCAACCTCGGATGAGCTCATTTAAAAAATAAAATTATCCCTCTAAATATAAAGCAATGTGAAAATGCATATTTGAATAGAAATTTAATAAGCTTTTAAACCACTCCATCATTCCCCCACCAAAGCACATATAAGTACCTGCACAGGACTATCACAGGGATTTTGTTTATTTGTACTCATCAGTCTCTGATTTCCTAATTTGGGAACAGACTAGATGAATAAAAGACATTCTTTTGCACTTTGTACTTAAGGACATTTCCAGCAAATTTCAACTAATTCAGACATCAGTTCTCTAACCTGAACTGGTCCTAAATTCAAAAGCTTTTCAGAATTTGCACAGGAATAAGTCTAGGTACATGTCAGATTTATCAGATTTTCTTTTGTAAAAGAAATCTGATCACTGTGTCCTAAAAAATTAAAACTTTGTATGAACAATCAAACCCTCCCTAATTTTAATCCTGTCTTTGCTGCTATTTTAGTGCATGGCCTTGAGCAATCAGTTTACATTGCTTCTTTCAACCATCTTTAAAATGAAAACAGTGACTGACTTCACAGGGTTAAGTAAGTTTTGTTTGGGTATATCTACAATCATTCCGAGGTTAATGCTGCACTGAAACTGGCCCTGTTAAGTTTTTGTGGAGGTTAAAAACTCTTGTAAATGTATAGTTATACCCACTTATATTAAACTGGTAAGGTTCTTATTTCTTTTACCTAATATTTTCACTATTAAAAAACCAGATCCAGATGAAGCAAGACCCAGCAATGACTGGATTACACCAGAGACGTTCATTAAATGTTAACGAAGTATTTTTAAAACTTGTGGGGGAGGCAGCCAACCTTAGATTTTTTAATCAGCTGTTTCAGAAAAGACTTCAGCAAGTGGTAAGAATGAACAAAAGCAAATCCAAATTCTGCCTATATAAGCATTTTCTCTGAGCTGGCTTTGAAACACAGTAGCTGGTTAGTGCTGGTCCTTAAGCCATTCCCTCATGTCAGATGCTAAACATGGCTTTAGAGTCAGCAGCTGTTAAAAAAGAACAATAATGGCAACAAAGGGACCAAGGGCTAATGTCCAGGTGCATTTGATCTAAAGAGTTTTGTACCACCTCAAGTCCTAAACCAGATGTTGCTGAGACCCCCACTGCTTCTCATTAACCTTGACAGCAGTTCCATGAGGACCCTAATTTATATTCAAAGCACTCACACTTAGTGCTAATTACAGCTAATATTTAATTGAGTTGAACTTTTATATTATTTTTTCCAGCAACTCCAAACCTTTTTAGATTTATCGTAAAATGGCAAATCACACTGGCAAGTCCAGCACCTTCATGGTGCTGAGACTCTGCTACCTCTCCTATTAGATTTGTTCAGCTGAGGCCTGGCTCACTTATCTATAACTGAGACCACATTAATGAGTAAACAGTGAAGGGTCAGGGGTTTGTTTGGTTGGTTTGGGGTGTTGTACATATTCAGGGGATTTACAGCTTTGCCATTAAACAAACTAACCCCACTGATTTTAGAGCAGAAAACTGGCACACAAGATTATCAGTCCAGGCACTGCATGTTCACTGCATTGTTTGGAGGACAGGGAACATTAAAGGAATTATATTTGTACATGCTACTGTAGGCTGTAAGTTGAAAATTATAGTGACAATAAATCTGAGATGTTCATCTCTTAAAACAAGTGACTACTGAAGCCTTTCCTAGCCTTTACAATTAGTGAGAATTTATTCTTCACAATTAATTCAACAGACACAGTATTATAATGTAGTCTAAAAGCATCTATGTATAAACATGTTCTTTACTACTTACTTGGGTAATAATACCCAAAGCTTATTGTTTACAATATGGATTTATATCAAGAACAATGCAGTGTCAATTATAGCATATTATAACATATTTGTATGTACATGTGGTTGATGGCAACCCCAGACTACACAACAGTCAGATACACTTGAATAGATTTTAAAGAACCAAAAAGTCTTAAATAGAATCACCTAAAATGTTCCTTTACTGTGCTCCTTAAAATACAGTGAACCAAAATGAATAAAAGAAATAATAGCCCTCGTGCATTAAGTTGAAAGTATGAAACGGCTCTTAAAGCAACAGGAACTACTGGTCTTGACTCAGACTATGAACTCAGGTATGAGAGTAATTTCAAAGCTGCATGTGACAGTACACAGACATTGCTTAATACCTCCTAGGCATGAGAGGCTAAACAGAAGTTGTCCCTTCAGACTCGGTTCCAAGTACCTTTAAGATTAAATGACCCTTTAATGCTCACTTTGTGCATGGCTTTTAAAAAAAGTGGTTGTTGGCAACAGCAAGAAGAACAAAGGATGGCAGACAGTCAGGCTCTGCTAAATGTTCTGGCCTGAGTCTTAATGAAAACCACATTTAAACTGAAAAATATGCTTTACGTGGCAGTGTATAAAATAAAATTTATTGCTTTCTGGTTAAATGGTGAACTCTAAAGAACCAAACAAAAAGGATTCCGATGATGTAGGTAAGCGAAGGCACTCCTATTCCATCTACATTACTCTATTTGAAGGAAAGCTTAGAATTTAAACTGCTCCTACTATTTCAGATCTCAACATGCCTTTTCAGCATCTTCTGCTCTGAAAGGATTTCATAATTAAGAAATTCATGCAAAGTGTCAAAACATAAAGCAACTTGCTATGTTTGTACACAAAAGCGAGCACAGAAAACATTCCTTATGCAGCGTTCCTTTCTAAAAACACACTTGCAGCACAAAAATGAATTCAACGAGAGCCTTTCTGCTCGCCTGCAGTTTGAAGTCGAACTAACAGTTTATTGTTTGTTTGACTCTATTTTCCATTTGGTGCATTTTGTTTCTTTGGCAAGAGATAGTTCACATTTCGAGAAAGCCTCCTGTACTGTAGTTAAATGAGCCAAACCACACCATATCCTCAGGGCACAGAAACAAAGAAGAAAAATGCAACATTATTCTGCGAACCTGCTGGTTATAAGAACAGCTCTGTTACATACATCACACACAGCAGACACGATCCCTGCTTGCCCTTCTTCAGGCTTAAGCAACAAAACATGAACTACAAGTCTTGCATGCAGTGGTGCACCTGGTTAGAAGAACTGCCCTGGCTTGACTAAAATCTAGAGTTTCAAGTAAAAAGAAAAGTGAAAATACCTGCTGTACCATCCTGCTCCCTTTATTCTCCATAAACTTAGCAGCTGCTCTAGTCCCAGGCCATGCAGCATCTGCCCAAAACATCAATTACGGGCGAGGGAGCGATGTAATGTGTGCATGAGTGTGGGTGATAGGGGTGTTGAAGGAGGGGGAGCCTAAGGCAAGGCTTACTGACCTCCCTCTCAACATCTGACTGCTCCCAAAACCTGATCCAGATGGGACTCTTTGAGTGCGCCGGGCCTCGCCCCATCAATCACAGCAGGCCACTCCTCTGTCTCCTGCTACTAGTTATGGAGTGCACCACTGAGCAGATGATTACACACAGAAGAAGAAAAAAACACAGCTTGACTACATTAATAGCTGTTTAAAAAACATTGGGAATGCTGCTATGTAAGTTGCCGGAAGCCGAACGTTTTTGCTTTAAAATTAAGACTCTGGATTCGAAGTTAAAAAAATGCCCTAAACTTCCAGGGCTCTGGCTTTGTGATAGCTACAATGTACAGTAACACGTGTGCATTTCCATGGGATTAATTCCTCTTCCAAGTGGCAGAGTTAATACCAATAAGATTTCTAATTTAACACTGCTGAACGCCACAAGTAAACCGTCGATATTGAACTAGCCTGGCTTAGATTAAATGTACTTTATCCTTCCATTTAAATGAAATATTGTTTCCTTTTTTTGTTTCGTTCCATGACATCCCTTCTTGCTTAGCAGGGGAAATATTTCATAAATGCTTCCAAGGTTTAGTTCTGTGAGGCAATTTAAGCGACTTAATGCTTCACTGTTAAAAGAACTTTCCTAGATGCTCTGGAGATGGTTTTAAAATTATTCAACTTCTAACTAAATCACATAATAAAGAAAACCAAAAAAACCCCAACCAACCTA